GAGCCGAGCCACCGTTCGACGTGCAAACCCTTCAACCCTGTGCCCCACGCGGATCGCCGCCTGCGGGAGAATAGTTATCTAGGTTATTCAGAGAGTTGACGTACGTTTCTTTTGTTTGGGATATCATGGATCGTATGTGTTGTCTTTCATTTATCAGGATTCGAATTCTGTTTTATTTTAACGCACTATAAACGAATGATTTTTGCATTTATAAGTAGGTAATTATATCGGCCAACTCGATTTGATTTGGTTTTATAAGTAGGTAATTACAGTAGGGAATTCGAACTTTGGATCTTTGGACCTGAATGGTTTAACTGGCTGAACTATTCAGTAATTGTCTACCTGTGCTTAATAGTGAATGAATAGCTCTATTTGTATCTATACAATGACCACTATTCCCCCTTACAATTAGACAATTTGCTTCTCTATTTGATAATACATATAAATATCTCTTATGATTATGTAAGCTGTTTGAATAAGACAACTTTTGAAACATTACCATTTTCCAAATTCATTCATGCGATGTTACTAAATACATTTATTGCAATGAGAATTAATAAACAAAGTAACATAGCATTATTCAAATCCCCCCCTTTTGATTTTTGAATACAACGATATTCACCAACCTCAATATTAAAAGAAATAGTCTTTTTTCACATTGTCCAACAATACATGGAAACGAAAAAGAAAATAAACAACACATACAATGCCGTATTATCAATAAACGATCATAAAATAAGAACTGCAAAACTACGTCACACATGCAACAGGAATAATGAACATTCAATTTGGATGGGACATAAAGAAGAGAATCTTGTGTACATATAGAAAAAAATTTTGTTTAAGAAGAGTCAGACAATATTTCGCGGATGATACTTTTAGTTTATATGTTCGCCAGGCTTTTCATGACTGGACACCTATGAAATTTGTTAATTGAACTCTGATTTGTCCGGCATGGTAGGGTAATTGGTAAATCCGGGCGTACGCCCCTAACCACCGTTTTACCACCGTCAACACGGAGTCCGATACTTCCCTTCTATTAGCCCTCTCTGCCATCACCGACAGCTATAACAGCAACGGTCACTACTTTTAATTGTTCCACCAATCGGTGTACAAGCAACATTATAATACTTCGTACCCTACATAGTAATACATACTTACTAATGGACGTTTATTGTTTCAAAAGAATTGAATTATTTTGCTCTATTTTATACTAATTTGACATTTAACGTCATAAATAAAAATTGATATTTAAAAATAGAGAAATATTTAACATTGTAATAATTAAATAATTTTTACATTGATATATTTAAATAATCGTTGTCTCTTATTATTCTTGTCCAATTTCCAATCGTTTAGATAAAGAAAACGATCGACGTCGTTCGAAAGATCATTTAATATGCTAATGGTAATGAGATTAGTCTGTTAAAAACAGTCGATCACATTTTCAAATACTTTTGTTCTTTGTCGCTGTCATGTTTTATCCGTGATGCAGAAGAAGGTCACCTTTCACTTTCCAATTCTGTTATTCGGTTTTGCTTATTTTCCGTAAATAAATTTAAACCGAAGTCTAGCATACCGCCGGAAGCTAACCCCCTTAACATTCGAATTAAAACGGATATTTAGTATGAATAATTGAATATGTCTCCCGAATCGTGTCTTCCGTGAGTAAGGTGCAACACCGACTGTAGCGCGTCGATCATGTAAACGCGTAAATAATCACCGAAGCACTGCGCGGAAAAAAACTTTTCTCTTTATAAACACTCTTGTTTGTGCACGTGTATTAGAGCGACAATACCATAAAACAGATATTACACTCGTGACATTGGAATCACACAGATCGATTAAATCTGACTATTATTCGAAATTAACAAGGCCTTCTCCTAAACGTGGGAAACATTTAAAAAGACATCGAATATACGTTACTGTGGTTATTCGAAAACATTAAATTGCTTAAAACGCTGAGTAAAACAGAAACAGCTGATTTACGTCACTTCAATGTTTGAAGAAGCGTATTGATTTTTCGTATATTAAAGTATCATTTTCATATTTTGGATAATTTCGCGCCAGTCCTAAATGCGAACGAAAAAAAACAAGCAAAAAGAAAGAACGTTAGAACGTCGATACATATGTATGTATATAGTCTACCGTAAACAATTAAGAAAGAAGAAATGTCCGATTTGTCAGCAAAGAATGTATAGCCTGTGGCGAATGTCAAACGAGCGGCCGTAAGATTAAGGTTAGAAAGGATTAGGTTAGGTTGAGCTTGCGTACAGAAGAAAGGGCAAAGAAAATTCGAAAGAGGGACACAAACGTATCAGTGACGCGACAGACGGAGGCATAAGGACCTTGGCGGGTCGACAGACCCACGTCAAGAACGTGCGACGACCCCGACCCCGCATAGAGGAGCAGTCCCTCTCCTTTCATACATCTACTACCCCGTATGTCTCACTCTTCCACCTTTCACACCTTTTGTACACATGGATTTCTAACCCTTTTCCTGCTTACCTCACCCTCTCTAACAAGTTTAACGTTCGGTCACTGGTGCACTTCACACCCCTCTTTCCTTCTTCTACTACTACTACTACTACTATTGCTACTGCTACTAGCACCACCGAACGAACAGTACGGTACCAGAACAAAATGAGGAATAGTACATAAACATGTATATAAGTATGTATATATATGTACATATATGTATATATATGTATATATATACTTTATGTATAGACACATACACACATAAAACAGCGCACTCGACAACAGAGTAGGACAGCTGAGCCACCACTGCCCCACCAGTTTTATGTAAGAGACATCTTGCACCGTGTCCGCGGTACCTTCCGCGAAGGTTAAGCCCGATACGGGCACACGAATAATCGCAGTAATTTACGTTAGAATTGCGCACTACACCACTGCACTAGACCAAAACTTCAGCTAGGCTACCCCATCGACGACAACAACAAATATGGCGAGCGAACCTCCTCCTGCGCCTCGCTGCAACGACTGCCGACTGCCCGCTAGGTGGCGATCAAAACGCCGCCCCAACGACCCCTACCCGTTTCACAGCTTCGGTCATACTCGGGCTATCTCGGATTTTGCTCCGATTATTTCGCGGCATTTTCAAATACGAAATATATACCTCGTTGTGAACATATTTTTAAGTGTATATACATGGAGAATCGAATTAAATCATGTGAAAGAAGTTATGTATGATGTCACTTTATATTATTTGCTATTGCAATCACGCTATTGAATAATGTAGTTATTATGGTTATCAATAGAAATGTTTACAATGTATCTAACTATTATAATCGTAATAATGTTATTATAATATAATGTCTTGTATCAAATAATGTTTATATTCTTTATTTATGCTCTTTTCATGTATTGTTTCTTCCTTTATCTCCTATATATTTTCGTCAAATTTACAATCATTGCTATCGAATTGAATACGAATTTACATAATCAAACCAGGTGAAGCACATCTAATCTTAGATTATCCCAAGTATCTAGTGACATTTTTATCCAATCATAATACTTGAATTGTGCAGGAAATTTCGCGGGCTTTTATATACTGTTTATGATTTTAACGTATGTGAATATTTATGATCTCTGGTAATTATATTTGAACAATTACATATTCTGACAAGCAAAGTGTGCGATAATATATGATATTTAAATCATTACTTGTCATTGTATTACATCCCTCTGAAGCATATGATTTAATAACATTATTTGTTATATCAAAGGTGGTATATGAAATAAAGTTGAGATAATTTAAGGATAATTTAAGTGAAATAAGATTCAGATAATTTAAAATAAAAGCATTTAATATACAAAATGTCATCGAATAAAGGCCACGAATCAAAAAAAAATCCAAATGATACAATGAAAATTTTAATTGCAACCGATATTCATCTAGGCTTTGAATATAACAAGAAAAGAGGTTGGTTTTTGTAACTTATTATCTCTATTATTGAAATAAAGTACAATTTATGATATAATATTCATATTTGATATTCACTGATTAATGTAAGGGCAAGAAACAGAAGATAGTATCACAACGTTTGAAGAAATCCTGCAATATGGAATAAAATATAACGTAGACTTTATACTTCTTGGTGGAGATTTATTTCATGATGCCAAGCCATCGCAGACTGTAATGATAAAATGTATGGAACTATTAAGGAAATACTGTTTAGGAAATAGGTAAATAAAAGTTATTCTGCCATATTTTTTATATGTATTAATCAAAATATTAT